AAAAAAACAAAACAAAACAAAACAAAACCATCCTGATGACTTAATGAAAACTTCTTATTGTACTGTGGTCTGAAAGAATTATGTGTATGATACGCTCTTAAAAGGCGGGTAGGTGGTGTGGTAGGTAGGGTAACAGACTTGGGTTCAGGAAGACCTAAATCTGCATCCTGCCTTGGGCCTTTACTAGTTGTCAATCCTGGTCAAGTCACTTAACCTTTCTCAGCCTCAATTTCCACATTTGTAAAATGGGGCTAATAATAGCACCTACTTCTCAGAGGTGTTATAGGAATCAAATGAGATAATCTATGAAGTGCTTTTTAAGCCATAAATCACTAAATGCCAGCTTTTGTTATTAATAAAATTTTGATAGACTAAAATGAATTAAAATCATATAACTGTTAATTAGTGCTGATTTTGAAGCTACTCAGAACAGAAGATAACCTTTAAGACATGAAATGCATATAAAACTTAATAATGGTTTTAAAATTGATACATTTCCTTTGTGTTTGGAAAAAAAATATTAACCAATAGAAAGGAAACACATGAAATTTACTCTATTTGGAAATCCCCAAGCCTACAGAGAAGAGAAAAAAGATGACAGTAAGATCAGTAAAATGTAATACATGTAGTGGATGAGGAAAAGATAGCTTGCTTCAGTCAGCTTGTGCTGAGCTAGGGTGAAGCAGGGTTGGTGTGTATTAATCATCTGTCAAAGACTGGAGGACTTTATCGGACAATTATAGATAGAAGTTTATAGCACATAAACAAGGGACAGAGCTACCAAGAATTCCAGCCCGAACACAACCAACAGTGACATTTGTAGCAGAGAGATAAGAGATACATTTTTTTTTTAAAAGGTTGTGCTATCTATTTCTGCTTGGATATTTTAGAGTTATTTTACAAAATTTTTATTTCTGTTAAACTATTTAGATATTTCCCCCTAGAAACTTACCAAGCCTCTCACTACTCTTACTCCCAATTTATCTAAGCTGAAGCAAGAATAGCAAGTGTCATCATACTCTGAAAGAAGGCCCTGATTATGGGCTCCGTCTCTGGGAGCCGCTACCCAGAAGGTAATCATGGCTTATTTTATAAAATCAAGGACTAAGCAAAAATACCCTCAACTGTTTGGAGGACTCTAAACAAACATATAAATAAATGTGCCTGCTCCAAGAACAGAGCAAAACCTAGAATACCAGGAGAAGGCATTTGAAAATAAATCCTGTTAACCCGAAAACGGCATTCATTTTGCTTGGTTTGGCAGAATTTCTCTGCGTGGAGGATGGGGGCACTGTCTCCCGACCCACTCCCTCTAAATTTCTGGGGTTACAATGGGCATTTCTGGGCCACGTTGTTGGAAGGGCCACACTCAGCTTTAACAAGATGGTGCCCAACGTTCTTGTTCTGAGGCCCACACTTGCAGGAAAAGTGCTAAACACACGTGAGTTACATAGTGATTCCTAAAGATAAATAAAGTCTGGCTCAGACTGCTCCATCCTTTCTGCTTCCCTGTATGCTCTCCTTGTGTGTATCGCCTGATTCCTGCTCTGGGCTTAATAACTAATCATATAGCACAGGGCAATAAATGAGAAACAAATAAATAACTGAAAGAATGAATAATAAATAAAAGCAAGCTAACATTTACACACAGCACCTACTAGGTGCCAGGTCCTGTGCTAAAATGCTTTAGAGCAATCTCATTCGATCCTCACAGCAACCCTGTGAGTAGGTGCTATTAGAATACCAACTTTACAGATGAAGAAACTGAGGCAGGCAGAAGCTGAGTGACTTGCCCAGGGGCACACAACTAGTAAGGGTCTGAGGCTGGATTTGAACTCAGGCCTTCGTGACTCCAGGTCCCATGTTCTTTGTACTGTGGCCCCTACTTAGATGCCTGTCTGATGGATTCCATCAATGTTCTCAAGTTCCCTTAAACAGTACAAATGAAAGCTCAGAGACTGATTATGTCCAGGTCCACTCACAAGTGCCGCGGAGAAGCAATGTCTATCGAACGGGCTGGAGGCCTCCCCTGCTTCTCCTCACCCGATGACAAGGACACCCTGGGCCAGCTCTTGCGTATGACCAATCACTCAATGAGCATTTATTAGGTGCTGCCTATGTGCCAGGCCCTTATGTACAAAAGGCACAAGCCAAGTCTGAATTAGACAACTCTTAAATAAATGAACTTTCATTACTTTCAGTCACACCAGTTACTCACCAAGGCGAGTTTCCTAACATAAGAGATAAGAGGGCTGCGTAATTAAGGTTTGCTAACACTGTACTCAATTGCTACCCTCAACCAGCTCACATTCCAGGGGAAGACGATGTGTAAGGAAACCCATCTTCTCTTCCCATCATTCATTTTCCTGGTGATATCTTTTACTTTGATAAGAGAAAAGATCTCACCGAATGTGCTTATGACATTTGAGCTGTTTTCATCTCAGCAATCAGATATGGAGGCAGTTCCTTCAGGTCACCAACTTTGTGGATTATGTGAAAAAGCACATGTAGCTGTGGGCGATGTTGCACTGTCACTTATGTGGGCCTTGGTTTCCTCAGGGATAGCTTGTTCTCACTCACAGGAAAGGTACAATTATCTTGACTGCTTCCATTATAACCAAATATCAAATCTGAGGAAGTAAAAAGGGCCCAAGTTTCATGCAGAGACCCGAGTTTCTTCCTCCTGAGGCCTAATATGCTGACCTTTTAGACCAAGTCCAAGACTCATCCTGAAAAGGCAACTGAGTTAAGGGGGTGGAGTGACGGCTCCTACTTTTATGGCTCCTTCAGAATTCTTTTATTTTTCCATTTTAATTATCTGTATCCTTCAAAGTATGTTCTTTCCTAGGGGGGATAACAGCCTGGGATATAGTTGGCAAGATATAAAATAAATAAATGTCGTGAGATGAGGCACGGATTTCAATTATAAGTTATAAATTTTTTTTAACAAGATACGATTTCTCCAATTTTTATATGATGATACATGCTGACCTCATAATTTTATCACCTTTTATATTTATGGCTCAATAATGCCTTCTTGGCAAATCACAAAGGCTGTTGAATTTATGGCACAACAGCCTGATAGGTAATTTACCGATTCTCTGATTGACTGTAAAACAATTTTCTAGGAAAACTAGTGGATAACATACTGGCAAATTAAGTTGACTGCTTCTTTTTTTTTCTTTCTGAAGAAATTTGGCTTTTAATTTCAATAAATGAAAATGTAAATGACCTTTTCTGAGTGATTAAACACTTACTGAATGATACAAAGTATGCTACCTATTTAGCTGATGAGCCCTTCACCATCCTGGCCCCCCTCTTCTGGGCTCTTTGCAAAAGGTGGTGCCCAGGACCGAGCACAGCTCTCATGCATGGCCTGAGCAGGGCAGCGGACAGCAGGATCACAGAACCTGCCTCTTCCGGGAAGGCGTGTCTCTCTTCTGACGGCTTCAGAGCAAGCGAACATTTTTAGGGGCCAAGTCACGCAGGTGTCTCTGAGGGAGCTTGCTGTCCACTGAAACCCCTCGATCTTTTTCAGGCAAACTTAGTTACCCCCTCCTTCCCAATCCTGTACTTGTAGAGCTATTTTCTAGAACTCAAGCATACTATCTTACATTACATTTCTATGCAGAAAGTATTTTCAGTCTAAACTTAAAGGAATTTAAATACAGAAGGTTCCTCACCTTCTGTGAACACGTATCATGAATGAAAATACGAAATCTGATTCTGATGTCATGATTTTTCTTCTGTGTTTTATTTGGAAGCTCAGCCTTATCACTTTCTTGTGATGCCTCAGCTAGTGCAGCAGCTCTGAGCAGACAGCAGCAGAGGCTGGGCAGGGGCCTTGGAGAGCATCTTTAAGCCCCTCAATTTACAGAAAAAGAAACCAATCTCCAAAGACAGTACTGGCTGGCTCAAAGTCTCCCTCCCAGCTAGGGGTGCAGGAAAGCCCAGAACCTGGGCTCCATCCCCCATTTCACTCTGCCACTCCCCTCTACTCCAATGTCATTAATTTAGGATCTATGCTCTTTGGGAGGAAAGGTGGTTTACCCTTGCATCATCTAGAAAAATAACATATTGCTCATAAAATTAAATTTCTTTTTTCTGGTTTTAACTTGCATAGGTGAACTCTTGGTCTGGGGACTCCCTCCACCAACGCAGACTGGCAATTCCTATGTAATTCCCATGTCTCAGAGAGTTGTCTGGACATGCTGAGGCTTTTATTAGATTAGTAAAGAGTCGAGATGTAAATTCAAGTCCTGATTCCAAGAGTGGTCCTCTGCCCTCTCTAGGAAATGAATGACATAAGCAAACTGGCAGGAAAAACATTTATTCTAAAGAAATTAAGTTGCCTAGGAGTCCTTCAGAAACAGCTATTTATAAGGAAAGGCCAATGTTGGCAGACACTAATTCCATATCCTTCTTATCTACTGATTATATTAGATAAGTTTATGGATCTTATTAATAAGACAAATAGCTTTGTTGAGTAACTTCTGTAACTGAAAGTAATACAAGTTCATTTATTTTTAAGGTGTCTAATTCAGACTTTGCTTTCTCCAAATTGTCTGATCCTTACCAGCTATGGGATTTCTCTGCTCTGAGCCTCAGTTTCATCATACAGAATATGGGAACAATAATACTTAAAATGTTATGAAAAAGGACTTTGTAAACTTGAAAACAGTATGTCCACATAAGTCATGAATAATAATAGTGAGTTTTTATTAAATTATCCAATGTTTCTTTATAAATCTGAGAGGGTTTTAAAAATAGTGGTATTTGTACCAAAGAAATTATGAAATATGAAATGGTTATTTAAATTCACAGAAGTAAACTTTAAATACTTTAAGGTTTTAGAAAAACAATTTTAAAATACAATGAATTACCATTTGCCAATTAAAAGTAAAAGTCATGATTAGCATTTATTCCCAAGAAAAAACAGATAGGACAAAGTCCAAGTCAATCTTACACTCTTGCCATTAGGAGAGCTGATGATTGCTTACCGAGGATTAGAAGGAGAAGGAGGATCCATTTCCTTCTGATAGTGACGTCCTTGATTGACAGGCTGCAAAAGATAGCGAAAAGAATACTTAGAAAATAGCGCTGCAAATGTTTTACTTGAAAAAGTGCTGCTCTTAGGCACATACTGCACCTTAGAATTCATCATCTAGCTCCTCAAATCTGTCTCAGTTTATCAACTGGTTGACTGACACTGGGTCAGTTCAGCTGCTCTGGGGCGGCCCACCTTACGAGAGGAAGTCTGGAGACGGGGCTGCATCCTCTGCCTGACTTTCTTTTGAAAGTCCTTCCAGTTGTCTAGCTTTGAAAACTTTGTGTCCTTTTTGGCTCTACACTCCCCCTCTCTCAACACCCAGTCCTTGACTAGATCCCTTCTACATCTCCGTCTGAATCTCTTGGCTGCCCCTGCTAGTATCTAGTGTAGGCCCTAACAACTTTTTCTCTGGGTTACTGAGATAACCCTGGAGCTGGTCTCCTTGTCTCTAGGTTCTCTCTCTCCCTACTTCCTTTCCATACATATTCTACAGCAATCTTCTTAAAAAAAATTTTTATTTTACCCCCAAATACCTGTAAAAACAATTTCTAACATTCTTTAAAACAATTTGAGTTCCAAATTCTCTTCCTTCTTACCCTCCCCCCTCACTGAGATGGCAGGCAATTTGGTATAGGTGATACATGTACAGCCATGCAAAACATATTTCCTATTAGTCATGTTGTGAAAGAAAACACAGACAAAAAAACAAGAAAAATAAAGTAAGTGAGAAAAAGTATGGTTCAATCTGCATTCATATGCCATCAGTTCTTTATCTGGAGATGGATTGTCTCGGGTCACCGCATTGCTGAGAACAGCACCGTACGATATTAGTTACCGTGTACAATGCTCTCCTGGTTCTGCTCATTTCACTTTGCATCGGTTCATGTAAATCTTTCCAGGTTTTTCTGAGAGCATCCTGCTCATCATTTCTTACAGCACAAGAATATTCCTTCACAGTCATATACTACAATTTGTTCGGCCAGTCCCCAATGGATTCCCTCAGTTTCCAAGTCTTTGCCAACACAAAATGCACTGTTATGCATTAGTGTTCCAGTTTTTCCACATCCCTTCCAACATTTGTCATTTTCCTTTTCTATTATATCAGTCAATCTAATAGGTGTGGGGTGGTACTTCAGAGTTGTTTTAATTTGCATTTCTCTAATCAATAGTGATTTGGAGCATTTTTTTCATACGCCTATGGATAGCTTTTATTATTTTGTCTGAAAACTGCCTATTCATATCCTTTGACCATTTATCAATTGGGGACTGGATCTTATTTTTATAAATTTGACTCAGTTCTCGATATATTTGAGAAATGAGGCCTTTTTCAGAGGCTTGCTGTCAATTTTTTTTTCACAGCTATGATTACAAATTGTGTATTTCCCTCCATCCCATTTCCCACTATATATCCTACTCTCCCTCTCTTTTCACCCTGTCCATTCTCAAAAATGTTTTGCTTTTGCCTCCTCTAATCCACTCTCCCTTCTATCACCCCCCCCACTCACCTTCTCATATCCCCTTCCCCATCTACTTTCCTGTAGGGTAGGATAGGTTTCTACACCCAAATGAGTGTGTATGATAATCTTTCTTTAAGCCAGTTCTGATGAGAGTAAGGTTCAAGCACTCCTTTCACCCCACCTCCCCCATTTTCTCCTCCACCATAAAAGCTCTTTTTGTACCTCTTTTATGTGAGATAATTTGCCCCATTCTATCTTTCCCTTTCCCCTTCTCCTAGTGCATTCCTCTTTCTCACCCCTTAATTTTATTTTTTAGGTAATCATCTCATCATATTCACCTCTCACCCATGTCCTCTGTCTAAATATATTCCTTCTAGCCACCCTAATAATGATAAAGTTTTTAGGAGTTACAAATACCATCTTCTCATGTAGGAATATAAAGTTTAACCATATTGAATCCCTTATGAATTTTCTTTCCTATTTACATCCTTTGGTTGAGTCCTGTATTTGAAAGCCAGGTTTTCTATTCAGCTCTGGTCTTTTCATCAGAAGTATCTGAAAGTCCTCTATTTCACTGATCCATTTTATCCCCCTGAAGAATTATACTCAGTTTTGCTGCGTTGTAATCCTAGCTCCTTTGCCCTCCAGAATATCATATTCCAAGCCCGTTGATCCTTTAATGTAGAAGCTGCTAAATCCTGTGTTATTTTGACTGTAGTGCCATAATATTTGAATTGTTTCTTTCTGCTGCTTGGAATATTTTCTCCTTGACCTGAGAACTCTGGAATTTGGTTATAATATTCCAGGGAGTTTTCATTTTGGGATCTCTTTCATGAGGTGATTGGTGGATTCTTTCAATTTCTATTTTACTTTCTGGTTCTAGGATAACAGGGTAGCTTTCTTTGATAATTTCTTAAAATACAACGTCTAGGCTCTCTTTTTTTTTTTTGATCATGGCTTTCAGGTAGCCCAATAATTCTTAAATTAACTCTCCTGGATCCAGGTCAGTTGTTTTTCCGAAGAGATAGTTTACATTTTCTTCTATTTTTTTCATTCTTTTGATTTTGTTCGATTCTTTCTTGATGTCTGATGGAGTCATTATCTTCCACCTGACCAATTTTAATTTTTAAGTAATTATTTTCTTCATTGAGCTTTTCTACCTCTTTTTCTATTTGGCCAAGTCTACTTCTTAAGGAGTTCTTTTCTTCTATGAATTTTTGTAAATCTTTTTCCATGTGGCCATTCTGCTTTTTAAGGAGTTCTTCTCTTCGATGGATTTCTGTGCTTCTTTTACCATTTAACCTATTTTACTTTTTAAGGTGTTAATTTCTTTAGTTTTTTTGTGTGTCTCCATAACCAAGCTGATGACTCTTCTTTTCATGACTTTCTTATATCACTCTCATTCTTTTCCCAATTTTCCTTCTTCTTTTCTTATTTGATTTCTAAATTCCTTTTTAAGCTCTTCCAGGAATCTTTTTGGGTCTGAGACCAATTTATATTTTTCTTTGAGACTTTGGATGTAAGAGTTTTGACTTCGTTGTTTTCGTCTGAGTTTTTGATCTTCCCTGTCACCACAGTAACTTTCTATGGTCAGGGTCTTTTTTTGTTGTTTGCTCATTTTTCTAACCTCTTTCTTGACTTTTATTTAGGTTAAAATTAGACTCTACTCCCTGGTGGAGGGAGTATTGTCCCAAGCCTCAGGTATTTTGTCCAGCTGTTTTCAGAGCGAGTTGTGCCTGTCTGTAAGTTTTCAGTTCTTCCAAGGTGGGATGATCTAAGGGGAGGTATGTTTACGTCTGTCCTCGACTGTCTCTGGTCTGTGAGTGACCACATGCACTCTTTCCCTCCCTGAAACTGTGACCAGGGTCCCTTCTCCCCTGCCATGACAAGTTCTGGGGTACTAGTGCTCCTCCTCACCCTGGGACTATGACCCAGATCTGGGTATGGGTGATGCCACACAGTCCTGTACCCAGTCCCAACAAAGGGACCCCCGTAATCTCCTTCTGACTAGCTCTCCAACCCCCTGTTTGTGGGCTGAGAGTTCTGGAAGCTGTTGCTGCTTCTGCTGATTTAGTCACCCTCAAGGCCTGCTGCTTGTTTGCTGGGCCTTGGACTGTGCTGGCACATACGGCAGTGAACTGTCTTACACTTTCACCCTGGTACAACAGACCTTTCCTGCCAACCTTCTAAGCTATCTTGGGATGGAAAATTTGAGAGCATCCTGCTCATCATTCCTTATAGCACAAGAATATTTGTTCACAGTCATATACTAAAATTTGTTCGGCCAGTCCCCAATGGATTCCCTCAGTTTCCAATTCTCTGCCAACACAAAATGCACTTTTATTTGCATTAGTGTCCCAGTTTTTTCACATCTCCTCCAACATTTGTCATTTTCCTTTTCTGTCATACCAGTCAATCTTAGAGGTGTGGGGTGGTGCTTCAGAGTTGTATTAATTTGCATTTCTCTAATGAATAGTGATTTGGAGCACTTTTTGTGGGTTCTGCCACTCTAGAATTTGTTTTGAGGTGCTATTTAAAAATCTTCAATGTCTCCCCATTTCCTGTGAAATTCTTTTGTCATTCAAGGCCTGACCTAATTTAGTTTTGATCTACTTTTCTGGAATGGTATTCACCCATTTTTATGCTTTATGGATCACTTGCTATACCTAGAACATGATCACTATCGGGGGGAGGGGTAAGGTGAGGCATTAAACACAAAAGAATGGGATATGGGGTACCATGACTGACGTACAGAAAGAAGGCCAGTTTGGCTTGACAGAAGATTACTGGAAGGGGAGTAATGTCTAACATTATTGGGAAGGCAGTTTAGGGTCAGACCGTGATGGTCTTTAAAAAGTCAAACCAAGGCACTTATATTTGATCCTACAAGCAACAGGGAGTCACTTAGGGGTGACATGGTCAAACTTACACTTCAGGAAAACTCCTTAAGAAGTTGTGTTTAGGATGGCCAATCAGGTGATTGCAGTAGTCCAGGTGAGAGACAATGAGGGCCTGAAGGACACCACATATGCACATATGCACATTCTAACTCATTTGTGAAGTCTTTCCTGGAAGTGGTAGAAATGATCTTTCTTCTGACATCCCAAAACACTCCACTTCCCCCTTTAATCCACTGTTAAAGTTTTCTTGTGTACATGTGTTTTATCTCCCTACCAAACATCTTAAACATATGGGCTGGTTTAAGTGCCAAATTCAAATAAAAAAAGGATTCCTACAGGCCACATATTGACTTGGGAAACCCACAAGCTAACATTATCTATGTAGTATTGTCATTTTATCTATTTTGTTAAACACCTTCCAATTACATTTTAATCTGGTTCAGCAGCACTAGAGAGTTTCATAGGGATTCCCAAGAGTTTGACACCTCTGCCCTGGACCCCTGGTGGTCCCCAAGATGCTCTATGAGGTCAAAACTATTTTCAAAATAATATGATGGCATTTTGATTTCTAATACAGTAAATATCAATAGATGTAACGCACCTAAGCAAAAGCTCTCTGGGAGAGTACTCAATGCTTTTTAAGAGTATGAAGGGG